TTTTTTTTTTTTTTTTTTTTTTTTTTTTTTTTGCATAAAAACTGATTATTTGAAGAAGAAAAAAAAGTGAACCAAATTTGTTTTATACGCCTTTTAAACACAGTACCAAAAGTAGAAGATCTCGACTTTCATATACGTCCAAAAAGCCAATTATTTTTACAGCTGATACAGCTGTAAGTTATTGGAGGAGAAACTTCTGGTTGCACAGAAAATTTAGAAGCACTCTTCTTGTGCGCTTCAATGAAAACTTTTCATTTCTATCTTTCGGTTTTTTTTTCGAGACAGTTAATGTCCAGTTTTTGCCATTAAACAAATTTAGAATAAAGATTAGTTGTAGAAACGAGGGATGAATCAAGAAAAAGAAAAAGTTTTCCAACTGAGATGGAATTGTTGATAGACATATTTAAAACATGCAAATTTTCTGGCCATGTGAATGAGCAAAATTGTTTGTGTCCGTAAGCAAAGCGGCGGGAAGGAAAAGGGCGGTAAAAATTTGTAAAAAAAAACTTGATGACAATAAGACTTTGAAACAAAAGTTTCCTTTCAAGGTTTTCTGTTTTTCTGAAATCTGTAGAAATTTCTGGGCTGTACAAGAAACAGGATTTACTTGTTTAAACGGAAATTACCTCTATTTGCCATCTTTGAATATGCATAAAACACATCAGGGATACTGCTAATGGAACGGTGTTTTGATGCAAAAAGGCAGGAGTCATTTGGTCGTCCAATAATGGTTTTCGATTTTTCGGTATATTAGTTTAGAAACTTCTTCTGTGTAACAAGAATTCATATTTTATTTCTTTATTCTTTTTTTTTTTTGATCTATTTTTTTGATACCTAAACTTATCGTGTGGTTTCAAAAAAAAACTTTAAAATCTTTTATTTGGATTTATACAATTACATTCCTGTAATTGATGTTTTATTTTGTGCAAAAAAATTTTTTTTCTGATAGCAGATTTTGAATTACATCAGGTTACTAAAACTTTACAGTTTAAATGAAGGATTGTAAAAAAATATGGAACATACGTTATAGGACTGTTAATTGTTCTTCTTAGTTTATGATTTCCTGATTGAGGAGGAAAAAGTTAAAACATTTCAGGTTTGAAATACCGGCAAATCAACAGTTGCCCGTTTTATAAATTAATAAACCTCTGTAACATTTCTGTACAAAAATGCTGATCAAGGATAATTACCGACGTCTTTTTTTTGAAGTTATCAAGAAGGAGGTTTGTTTGCCCACTTTTACGTACTTTTTTCACTCTCAAATGTTCCTCTAGCTTTCGCTGTTTTTCCATATATACAATTTAATTTGGAAAACTCATTTTCTACTTAAACTTTTGTACTACAGTATTGACCACGCTTCAAAAGCAGTTGGCAGATGAATTTGTTTGATAGATTTTATAAATTTATAAGTGTTGTTTCAGCATATCCTCCTGATTAGTCACAATGATGTGGATGCGTTGTGTGCAACACGTATATTTATTGTAAGTTACAGCATTAAGTTTGATCTTCAGACTCTTGACTTTTGCTCCACTAAGTCACAACCCATAGTTCGTCAGCTTTTCGGCTTTGCCAAGTTCTAGTTTTCTGCGATGATTATTTATTAAAATTTTGTCTTTGTTAATTTTTTAGCACTTACTAGACAGCGATGATGTACCATTTTCACTGGTTACTGTGACTGGATGGGAGTCTTTGAGCAGAGCTATTCAAGATGACGTGGATAAACATAACGTTATGGTTTTAATAAATTGTGGTGGTAATCGAGCGTTGTTGGAGCTTGAAACTCCTCCTAATATGAAAGTATTCATCATTGATTCTCTTCGGCCATTTGATCTTGATAACGTAAGCTCTTATCAAGTAAATTTTTTTTTTTTTTTTTGATATTGGGATCTTTTGCAAGATATAAACTTCTTAAACAGGTGTTTTAGGTGTTTGCAGAGAACAACTTAAATTTATTAGTAAGTCATGACGAGGTGAGTGACTTGAAAATACCTAATATGGATGATATTTATGGAAGTGAAAGCGAAAGCAGCGAGGATGATGATGAAACTAAAGATAACTTAGAAAGCATTGAGAGGCGTGCCTTGAAAAGAAGTCAGAAACAGCAGTGGTACAAAAAAAGAGCTGATATACTTTGGGAATATTATGAGAAGTCTTGGTATTCAATCCCAGTATGTTGCCATTCATTTATATTATTAAAGTTGAATTTAACTGAATGGAACTAAAAGCATTTGTTTCTTGTTCCGTTCGATATATTGTTCAAGCTACTAGTTATCAAGTAATATCAGCTTCAGTTATAGTTTCAGTAAGTAGCTATTGCCTTATAAGTTCGATTTTTTAAACTGATCAGCTTCCAGAGTTCTATAGTTCTTCTTGAACTTGCTCATGAGCTTGGGAAGTCATGTGCTGAGCTGATGTGGTGTGCTGTGGTTGGTTTTAACAGTCAGCTTATGGACAACTTAGTTTCGCTTGAAGCATACACACAAATCTGCATTGATCGCCTGAGACCATTTATTCGTCGGTTCTCCCCTCGCAACTCATCTCTGAAGGGCGATGATGTTTTAAAAATTTCTTTTGATAAGGAGTATGCAGTATTTGTATCTTATTATTCCTGACAGTTCTCGCGTTACTTCAGTTTAGCTTGTTTTAAGGCTTCCGTTGCCCATGTACACTCATTGGTCGTTGTATAAAAGCATGGTAAATCATGATTTTTTTGTTTGTCAGACTCGGTATTGGCAGCAGAGAGGAGATCATCAAATGCGAGCTTTACTCGCCACGTTAGGGTATCCATTTTAATTTATCTAATAGTATAGGTCATTCTTCTGCACTGAGTTTATTTGTTTAGGTTAACGCTTTCCGAATGCAATCAAATGTATAATGCGATGAGTCAGGACAGAAGGTTGGAGGTGTTTGAAATACTGCAGAAAAAAATCAATTCCAACTTTGCATCTTTTACAGCAGTCATTGGTTACTTTAACAGGTAACCTTTTCAGCTTCTTTAACTTATTTTCGTCGTGTCAGGTGGTAGAAGTGAGTTATTCCTTCCATTGCTTTATCTATTTAAAGTGATATTTCTTTAAAGGGTTTTCTAAAACTCATCGTTCAGGTGCTATTTAAAATATTCTGATTAACTTGGCTGCAGCAGTATTTTAAGGATAAATGCTTGTGACTTCGCAAGAGTGTTGAGTTATCGCCTAGAGGTTGGACCAAGTGATGAGGATGCTGTGCATAGTCGCTTCATGATTGCTCTTAATATGCTCAAGAAGTTTTTCAGTGGTATTGACTTTAAATCACTTTTTCAACCTCGTTTTATGAGCTGCATAGTGAGGGTTAACATATAGCTTCAACGTGAAAAAAATATTGATGTTTAATTTACTTTTTTTTTTTT